TCCAAAAGCCTTCGGATCGGGTCGGGTTCGGGTTAATATAAAAAATATTGAATCGGGTCGGGTCGGGTTCGGGTAAAAAATGTTCGGGTCGCGTCGGGTTCGGGTCATCCACGTAAGACCCGATTCGGTCTCTGGTACATACCTTCTAACTAGTGAATTTCTGTTTCCACATACATGCTCCTAATAAAAGGTATACTAAGTGATTACCAGTTCTTTAAAACATAGAAGACACACCGAAGAATGATTTTAAAAGTTTATTCATTGATTGTTGAAACGGTTTAGAATAATCACAATAAGAAGAAGGACCGATAATTACTCTGCTGAAATTGCTACAAGCCTCTTTATAATATTTACTATTTACCGTTATGATTCAACAGCTGATTTATGCCATACATGTTTAGAAAACGGTCGATGTCTACAACGTCAGTTAGAAAACGTTCTTTTGTCGTTCTCCACGATGTCAATATTGTAAAATGCGACAGTACAGCACAGAACTACCCAGTGTTATACTTCACTTGTTACTTATTAAAGATTTAGTTCGTGTCAGAAATCAATATTTATCAGTTTGTACATACTCGTGGCGTAGCTATTATTTCCTTTAGTACTTTGGCCCTTTCGTGCGAATTGTTACTGAATAGCAACATTGTACCATCACTTTGGTGTTTTGGCGCCTTGGTGCTTTGTTATTTTGGTCCCTTCGTGCGAATTGTTATTACTTTCATGTCTTTCTTCTTCGGTTCTTTGCTCCTCTGGTGATTTGGTACTCTAGTGCGAATTATTACGATATCCCTTTAGTACGATATCCTAACGTTGTACCATAAGTTTGGTGTCTTGCTACTTCGGCACCATAGTGCGAATTCTTACCAAACTGAAACATTGTACCATTGCTTTGGTGCTTTTGTCTTTTCGTGTTTCGGCGGTTTGGTGATTTGCTGCGTTCGTGCTTTGATCCTTTCGTGCGAATTGTTACTGAATTGCCACATTCTACCATAGCGTTGGTGTTTTGGTGTATTGCTCTTTTTGTGCTTGGGTGATTTGGTGCTTGGCCTCTTTCGCGCCAATTCGTACAATATTCTAACACTAAACAATGGCTTTGGTGCTTTGGTGGCTCGGTATTTTGCAGTACACGTCTCGCTCAGCCAAGAATTGAAATGAACCGAGTTAATACTGTGAGATGTAGTAATTTTACAACCTGTTTTTAGTTACTAGAGACTCAAACAGAATTCGCTTCTGAAAGAATCAAAAGAAGATACCACGACCGGTTTCGACCTTTCTCAAGGGTCTCATCAGGTGGTTTCCTTCGAGAAAGACAGAATTAAGGCATGACAAGCAACGCAGACTCCGTCCATACCGTATGAGGGTATTACTATTCCTTTTCATATCGAACAAAGAACGATAACTTTCACACGACGAGAGCGGAGCACGCTATCACTGTACAATGCACATGTTCTGCTTCTCTACATTAAGTATTTCTTTTCATTCTATCGGAATTGTAAAATTACTACATATAATTTCGTAAGTCGAGTTTCGCATTCATATAGATTTAATACTGTGATCTGCATCAAATTTGAAAATGTCGAGATTTTGCGAATGGAGATTTCTCTGGTTGGATATCCACTGGTATTACCGGTAACTTTGTATATAGCTATAACGATAATTCCTATATTTTTATACTTAGAGTCATATACAGCAACAAGCACAATTAGTCAATCATTTTATACTGTTCCATAGCAGAATTATACAATAAGCTTCTGGTTAGCAAATCCAAAATGTTACAGGCACAACGTTGAGTAAGTTGGATTGACAGGAAAGTGACAATATTTACTACTATTTTTTATTTTGTGGAGGAATGTTACTTAGCGCTGAATGTATTACTTCCCTTATGTATCTTACGAATTTATTACTTTATTGTCCCAACGGTACAAATTCCGATTATAAACATTATTTATATTCATATTCTTCTTTCGAAGAAGTTGAAATACTATTTGGATTTAGTGGCCGATGGAATTTATATAATGTTTCTATTGTGTCGGATGGTATAAAACAATTCATTATGGATGGATTAGATGATGGAATTAGGAAGGATTCAGTTGAGAATAACATAACTGTGTTATATACTATTAGTAATACTGATTCCTCTACTTTTCGGTATATCAATCTAAATTTTAACAGTATCTACGACAAACACTATGAAATTACGTTTCAACTTAGATCTATTGATGCAGGAGCATATATAAATGTAGCATTGGTAAATATTACACAATTAAGTAAGAAAGAATAATTTTTTATTTTATTTTAATATTTTAATATTCTTTTCATTCCATATAGATACAAAATATAAAAATTTCCTTAATATTTCTAATACAAATATTACTGACTATCAGTATTACACATATAATTATCGAGCATCAACATATTTCGCTGAATTAAAATTTCAATTTTATAATTATGGAAAGCGAATTATATATATATAGATGATATCTCTATTTTAAATAATGATGACAATGAATTAATAAATAATGGTAGATTTGAAAATGGAAATCTGTTCAGTTGATCTATTAATGATTATTATACAAATTCGTTAACCACAAATTACACTCATTCAGGATTGTATGCATATATATGTGATGTTTATGAAAATAAATCAATTAGTCAAATATATTCTACTATACCAAGAAAATATTATCGTATCAGTTTTAGGCTAGCAATCACAGTTCAAACAACATACTGGATAAAGGCTTCAACTAATCATAAAAGTATGTCCTATGATTCATGTATTAAATGTGTAACATATTTTCTTTACGCTCTAAAACAGGTAGTTTACCATATAATGAATGCGTTACAAAACAATATTACTCTCAATATGGCTCTCGATTTCTATACTGTTGTGAAAATATAGAACAGCAAAACTATACATATTATATATTCAGTTTTACGTCACGAATACAATATGCAAAACTAAATATTGAATTACGTCATTCTAATGGTTATTTCCTATTGGATGATTTGTCGTTAAAAATTGATGAGAATAACAAAGAACAATTGTTTAATGGTAATTTTGAATTACTATCTAATGATAGGAATGCGTTAGGGTGGAATTACTTTTCAACAGCGGTAAATGATATATATTGTGGTAAGCAACTGATGCTAGAGAGTGGCATCCACTCTGATACTTACTCATATTGTGTAAATACTAGTCGAACTAATAGTATTAGTCAAATATTTTTGGAAAACAAGATACAACAACATATCATTTAAGTTTTTGGCTTGCTAATATAGGAGTTGAAAATTCTATTAATTCAATAAATTTTACAATAGCTGATCCTGGTAAGAGAATGTATGGTTTTTTTCTCTTTTGACGTAATTATGAGGAAATACTACAAAAAAAAATTCGATGCGGCGTCGCAAAAAAAGGATCGGCATCGGGGATGCGTAACGGTCAATGGGGGGAAGTAGCTGATTTTTCCGATTTTCATCGATTTTAGTCTATTTACTCTGAATTACATCGATTTTCACCAAATGAAAAGTCACCGGAAATTACCAGAAGTCATTGAAAATCAATTGATCTTGGACCGATTTCAATCAACTGTTTCCCCCTTGGCACCGGTGCACATGCCATGCTATAATCATACGGCAAACGCCATTACCCCGCCACTTCTCTTATGAGAAGTAAAAGATGTGGGCCGAAAAGATATTCGAAATATCTATAGTAATATTACAAGTATACTATGGTGCTTATATACACGAACAATAACAAAACAAAATGGTGATTGAAAAAGAAACTTAGCATCGATGCACATCGATGCGAAACGAAACTTTTTTTAATGGCATCGTGCGCACTGGTGTCAGAAGAATCTAAAAAGCTCGTACTCCTGCGCATCGATGCTCAGAAGAAAATTTATTCGGCATGAATGCGCACTCATCCACAGCTCGTGTCAGCAAAAATGTTTTTATAGGATATGGTTATGGTATAGTTATGTTAAATATGAATTAATAGCTTTATAATTCGAAACCTCATTCTGGTCTCTTTTGTCAATCAAATATTCAGAATTGTCTTGTTCAACAAACAGTGGTATACTGCCTAATAAGTTGGTCTTTTTATACTTAAGGTTTATCCACTCAATATATATCAAAGGAAAATTTACTGTTTTATTGTATTAAAATGGCAAATAATGATCATTGGAAATACTATGAATATATTTATTATGCTAATACAACAGCTGCTCAACTAACGTTTGGATTTTGGGGATCTAGATATTCTCACAGTGATGGTTGGTATTTAGATGACGTTGAAGTATTTGATCTATTCAAGAAACGCCAAATATTGCGAAACGGAGATTTTGAACACAAAGATTTATTATTTTGGATAAATTATTTAGACAAAATATTTTCGAACGGTTATGTTGCGATCAACTCACATAACACACATGGATGATTAGGTGCTTATCATACAAGAGAACGAGAACATTTTGATTATATTCGTCAAAGCTTTTCGACAATTCCAAATGAACGTTATCGAATTAGTTTTTGGTTAAAAGTAATCAATAACTCATCTAATATTGTCAATGTTACAACTCATCTATTAACAGGTATAAAAAAGAATCCGTGCATTTGATGATTGGACTTTTTTATTCTGTTTTATGTTTTTAGCTACTTCTCTAAATCATTGCATCACAGAGAGAAATAAGGACTGGTTCTTTTATTGCTATAATACTCCATCACATAATTTAACATATTACACATTGAATTTTACAACTGGCAACTGTAAATATGCTGAACTTATTATTGAATTGAGTAATGATCAAGGTTATTCGCTATTAGATGATATATCAGTATTAAGTGATAAAAATCAAGACAATTAATTAATGATGAATTTGAATATGAAAATTTTTTTGGTTGGAATCGAAGAATGGATTTGATTGATGCATGTTGTCAAATAATAACAACAAATAATAGTTATCATAATAGTTCATATTTCTATCTAGTAAACAGTACGGTTGTAGGACCAAGTATCAGTCAAGTAATTGCTATACGAAACGATATATAAATTATATAAAATAAGTTTTTTGGTTGGCTAATTACAGTCCCATTTCAATTAACACATTAAATATTACAATTATTCAAAGTGATAGTAAGTATTCTGCATCACTATTTGATTGATGCTTTCAAAATTAGTTCTTAATTTATAGGCTTACCGACAACTCAGTGTATATCGGATAGATCTAACACACTCATTTATTGTATATATCTAAAACCGACAGACAATTTTACTTATTATACATATGATTATACAGCTAAAACATCATTAACTGAACTAAATTTTGGTTTTCGATATGATCGCTCTTCATCGAATTTAGATGATGTATCTGTATTATATATGCACAATAATCAATTATTACAAAATGGTGGATTTGAAGATCCAAAAGAACTATATTGAATAAAGTCATTAAATTCTACTGGCTCCAGTATACTCCAAGTACATGGTATTGGTGCAATATGGCTTGCTCATAAGCGATCATATTTTTATTCAGCTTGCTAGTCGCTGAAAAAATTCAGAATTCTTGGAAGTGTGCTAAAATCATTACAGTTAACGAGAGAAAGTCTACAAGCATTCAGTCGCTGTTATCCTGAAACTCACCTGCTTAAATACAAGTGTGGATGGCAATTCTGAATTTTAAGTTCACTCGTGCTGCTAGAGGTTTCTGTATATTATGAACTACCCGAAAAGTGACCTAAAAATCCGGTTGCTTAAAAGGAAAGGTTTCTAGAGACCTTCTGAAAAATCCACCAAGATCCGGAAATATGTCTGTTGGATTCTACATGATTTTTCACCTATAATGGATGTCTTAAAGTCGAATAGGGGAAAACTTCGCGACTTCTCGAAAGACGACCTGTCCTTTTATAGCAATATACAGAAAAAAATAAATTTGTCAGAGCGGAACCGTAACTTTGAAAACTCATGCATGCTTTTTTCCTGTCCCCATAGCGGTTAGAATGCCATATAAAAGGTAGCTTCATCGAAGAAAAGTTGATTGTTTTGTAAGCAGAAGATAGCTTCATTTTAGAGTGTTCACTTAGTTCAAAATTGTTTTTACCATTCTATATACGAATAACCTTGAAACTACATCTTCTTATTCCATTTTGGGTCAGAACACGAATAAAATAGTTTCAGCAAAAAATAGTAAGTGCAAATTAGAAAAATCTTAGATTTTCTGGAAATTGGTACGCTTGTGTCATATCTTAAAGATCTCTCGTCTAAAATATGGTTTAAAAAGATTAAAAACAAGACATTCTTAGTCAGCTTAACGAGCTCTATCGAACCATGAATAAATGATTAAGAAATAAAACAGTACTCATCTTTTGAATTGTGTGCATCTTATAATGTGGAGAAAAGAAATCTTTAATGTTTGTTCAAACTTTGTTATGTTGTTTGATTATTAATGAATTCTGTTGTCTCACAGCCCATGAGAGAGAAATGTTTTTTTGAGCTTGAGCACGTACGAAACATGTTAATATGATCTTTTTGCCTTGAGCCCGACGACTAAGCAATAGACAAAAGAAAGAATGACGCATCACCTCCTCTATTAATATACCACATAAACAAACGACAAAAATATATTCTTCATTCTTAGAAATCATCAAATTAAGTCAGCCATGAGAAACAGTAGGATAAGAGTAATATAAGTTTAGTTTAGGTCATAATTGTAACCATTAAACACTTGAGAAATAACAACGAGTACTTCATTGTTTTAATTTTATGAGCATGACCAGTGTTGTATTCTGCACCTAGTCTCAATCATGTTCATTCCTTGAAAAAGCCTAGGATCCTGAATTTCAAGGATATTGTCAAGTTTTATTTAGAATCGTACCTCAAATCTTGGTAATTCCTGTTTGCAAGATTTCTCATGGTTAAGCAGGATCCTTTTTTAGGATATCTTCAATTCACTCAGGTTTTTTTCTGAATTGACAATGCAGGATCATACTGAATTCGCTCTCGATCCTACTCGGGATCCTGACAAGAATAAAGGAAAGAACTCGGTCAAGATTTTATCAAGTTTTAGTCAAGGCTTGTTCTGGATCCTGATACAAGGATTCTGTCAAGAGTTATAGTTATATCAGAGGAGGATCTTACCAAGAGACAACAGGATCAGTCATTATCAATCCACAAATTGATAAATCTAGCTAAGCTTTGTTCAGGATCATTTTCTAGATATAGCTTCGTATACTTTATAATTAAAAGCACTAAAAGGAGAATAGTAATAAAAAATAAAAGGACTAAAGTGAATAAAATCTAAAAGACATGCAGTCATCCATCAGTAAAACTTTTTCATAGTTAAAGAGGTCTCGAGGCAAACTTTTACCATATCCGATCTCTGTTACCAATGGTATTAGTGGCGAGTTGTTTGTCGAATTAGTCGTTTATCCGAATAAAATTGTTCGATCGTTTTCGCGTGTATGCCATATGAATAGGCATATATAGGATCTGATTTAGATGTTTCATTCAGAACAGGAGATGTTTTCTTTTTACTTTGTTTTGTTCTTATTCGTTTCCGCACCTCAAGAAACATTTCTGTACTATTCTGAATGTCGTGTATCAAAATTTAAACTCATAACAACACAAAGTTTTTTCTTTAGTAGTTGATTCCAACCTGAAAAATATGACTTCGTATTCTACTCCGTTATTGTTGTTCGTTAAACAAATAAAAGAAGTAATAATGATTTGTTTTATATATGATTTCATAATCGATTGGAAATTTCGTTTCAGTGAGATTTAGCCTGTCTGTAACAGGCAGGCTGCCTGGCCTGGTTCGAGCCCTGGCTCTTACACACATCATACCTTACACCCCAAGCATTATGAATAAAAAAACATCTATAGAACGAATTGGTTATTGTTGAAAAATAGAGAATTTCATTTTTCAATTTCTTCTTCAGATTGATACGATGCTCTCACGATCGCTTGTCTTTCTGCAAGATTCGACAACGATACAATTACGTCAACATTTAATCACACCATTTCTCAGTCGACATCTTGCCTCCTGACTAGGTAATCGATCAAACGACGTTTCGCTGGACAATTAAAACGACGTTGGAGAAATTTACTTGTCGTAACTTTCATCGGTACAGGCACATTCTATGGCTATCATGTCTATCGTCATAATCAATGGTACAATGAAATGGCCAATTCGGATAAAACATTAGGCGCTAAACATCGAATTGTCGTTCTCCGAACTGGTAAAACCATTATAAAATATTTCTTCTACTTATTTCAGGCTGGGGTGCGATCCCGCTTTTGAAACATATCGATACACAAAAATATGAAGTCGTCTGTGTTTCACTGTGAAGTTACTTTCTTATGACACCACTTTTACACATCGGCGAGTGTTGGTACACTTGAAATTCGAATAGTGATTGAACCAGTTCGATCACTGATTGGACCACGCATTAAATATATTGAAGCTGCATGTGTGGATATTGATCCAACATCGAAAGTTATTACATGCAGTAATGAAGGTGAAAAATTAGTAATATCGACCGATCCAGGATCCAACACCGAAGGTGGAGCATTCTCTAAACAAATCTTAGATTCCGGTAAGATCTCTTTTTAAAAAACATACTCCTACTAAATTTGTTTTTCTCAAATTTTAGCTTGTACTCGACCAAAATTCGATATGAAATATGATACACTTGTCATAGCTGCTGGCTCGCAGAATAACACGTTTAATACTCTGGGTGCAGAAAAATATGCACATTTTCTCAAGGAAATAGCCGATGCTCGACGTATTGGTGCGGCAATTAGTGATGCTTTTAAATCAGCGATGATACCATCACAAACTGCCGAAGAACGTAAACGCCTACTTCAGTTTGTTGTAGTTGGTGGTGGACCGACCGGAGTGGAATTTGCTGCCGAAGCAAGAAACTCAGAATTAGTCTTGAGCAAAAATGAAAAAATCTCAGCAATATATAATTCGTAGCATCGGTCAGGAGTGTCTCTTTCGAATTTCTGTTTCCGGAAATCCGACAAACTATTTAGATACCCTTAGTATCTCAGAAAGGTGTCTTAAGCTTTTCGTTCAAATTTGCATCGGCCGCCCATGTTTGAATGAAAAAAACTCGTCGATTAATCACAGATTCAAGAGTATTATTTTTCATTTATTTAGCTTGCTGACTTTGTTCGTGAAGATCTTCATTATTATTTTCCTCGTCTGGTTGCTAATGATGTCAAGATTTCACTTGTCTAATCACTCGATCACCTTCTATCGACGATGGTTTGTCATCAATATTTCTATCTTGTTGTTCCATACTGAGCTCTCGATTTGGTATTCTAGGATAAAAAGATTAGTGATTATATGGAAAATCATTTCCATCGTGAAAATATCGAGGTTCTGACTAATACTAGGGTTAAAGCTGTAAAGCAACGTGAAGTTATTATTCAAAAGAAAGGCTTAGACGAATTAAGCTCAGTGCCATGTTCGGTTGTCATTTGGGCAGCTGGTATCAGAGCTCGATCATTGACTAATCGTTTGCATGAAATAATCGGTCCGAAATTTCAAAGCAATCGTATGGGTCTTGTCATTGATCAATATCTTCGTGTGAAAGGCGTTGAAGATGGTTCGATTTATGCCCTTGGTGATTGTGGAACAATCGAACAACCGAAATTACTCGATCGATTACAATTACTTTTTGAAGAAGCGGATAAAAAACGTGATGATTTACTCGATCTTCAAGAATTTCAAACATTAGTTGAACAAAAAATCGACTAATTTCCATAGGTACGCGTTCGAACTGTGATATACTGATATTAACCTTTGTATTTTAGCTTGAATTGTTTTCAAAAGGCGTGGAAAAGTCTTTCCACGAAGCGGATGAAGATAAATCTAGTCAGCTTAGTCTCGCTGAACTTCGTTCGACACTGGAAAAAGCAGATCAAAAATTGCGCGCTCTGCCTGCTACTGCTCAAGTTGCTGCACAACAAGGGCTTTATGTCGCTAATTTACTCAATCAGATTGCCATTTCACATGACGATACGCCAAGCCGCTCCGGTACAAACATATGGGTTCATTAGCCTATGTCGGTGGTGATTCAGCTGTATTGGATTTCACTGGATCAAGACCATTTCTCGATCTTCTCAATTTGAAACCTCTCTCTGGTCGCAGTACTGCCTATCTCGGGAAATCTTTCTATTTTATTGAAATGTTCACTGAACGAACGAAAACATTGTTCGCATCTGATTGGGTTTGTACACAGGTCTTCGGTCGTGACATTAGTCGCTATTGAAAGGATCATTTCAACTAATCTGTCTACTCCTCTCCTCGCAATAACCGCTAAAATATGTACTGATAAGTTCTCGAAGCCCTCAAAAAAAATTTTCACGGTGCTTTTTTATCTGCAAGGGAATATTTCGCCCAAACTAAATCTGATTGTCGCGGGAGTGATCTCAGATTGAAGAGATCTACGGGGCCATGTTTGCACAAAGTGTTGAATGAAACCATCCTGTATTCGAGGAGAACGATTAATTTTAATTTTTTAATTTTCGGTCATCTAGCACTTTTCCTTAGAGCAATGCAAAGCAGGTTTCAGGGCTATTAGTGCAATGCAGAATTTATGTAAAACCCCTCAGCTGAACAAGACTTAAGCTAGATGATTCGATAGAGAAATCAACGCTTTATCCAGCCATATATAAAGCCAAAATGTACTGTATTTTGCAGAAATACAGTAAACCGAAGAAAACTAGTAAAAATAGCGCAATCAAGCCATACTGTTGAAGTCGATATTTCTGCCCAACAACACGCGCGAGTAATGTGATGCTAGGGATAGCAATGAGACACATCGCTATCGCCCCGAAACCCACTTGCTCCACCATGTCAAAAAATGATACTGATTCGTAACATCCATACATTCCACATAGATCCATCGTGTAGACAAGTGTTTCACAAGGCAGTGCAAAAATTGCTATACTATAGAAAACCATAATAAACAGCACAATCAAGAACAATGGAAGATAATGGACAAGCATGCGCTTCCGCTGTGTGGTTCAACGCATCTGTGAATGTCAATATCGTCGGTCACGCAGGTGTGACTTTGACTAGCGTATTTGCTTATCTATGATCGAAAGAGCGCCCTATGTCATCTCACTGTAGAAATAGGCGTGAATGTTTCTGCTGTTTTCTTCATCTCTCCAGGCCACGTCTTATACGCTTTCGTCATTTTGGTTAGTCAGATGCACCTGTCGAAATGAGCCCGTCAAAAGAAATCGATAGCACTTAAAAAGCTGAACAGACGTAAAGGTTTTCCCAAAATGAATGTGTAGAGAACAGAGCTTCCTACCCTAGTGAAACTTCTTGTACCCAAGATCTTGGGTTAAGAAA